AACTACAGAGCAAGCACTGCATTCATTAATCTCGACTACTAATGCTGATTTGTTAAATTTATAAACATGCAGAGAGAAGGGGAAGCACTCAGGGTCTCCTGTAAAGGAAAGAACCCTGTAAAGTATGCTCCTCTGGGGTTTCTAAAACATTCCACTGAACACTGTTTTTAAAGGCCACACTTAAAACATAAGGATACAAGACAGTTTGAAATCAAACAGTTGAAACAGATGTAATATGCGAATGCTAACTAAATATAGAAAGGTCATATTGATATCGGACAATTCAACTTCAAGGCAAAAATCATCCCTTGAGGGAAAGAGTTTGCTTTATAATACTAAAAGCTTTATTTTGGGCAGTAACATAGCAGTTTTCATCTGAGGAGATAAATACCAGTTATAGTATGTTTTTTCTACACATCTTGTTCAGCAATTGACAAAAGAAGCTGACCAAAAATCAGTAAGGATACAAAAGCTTTGAATAAATGACTACAGATTCGACCTAATGGGTATGGACAGGAAAATGCACTCTGCACCTGCAGGATGCTGTACACAGGTTTTCAGGCACATGCAAAGCATTTAGATGAATTTACCTTTTGCTGGGCATAAAGCAAATCTCCACTGATTTCAAATGACTGAAGATAAATAGAGTGTATTCTCCGACCACAATGAAATTTTCTAGAAATCAGTACCAACCGGATGACTAGGAATCCCATTTATTTGGAACTTAAATACATTTCTGTTCTACATTGTACTGGAAGTCCTAGCCAGCAAGGTAAGAGAATCATTCAATCAATAGGAAAGAAAGAAAAAATGACTATCATTACCCCTATGGTGAAAAAGAAAAAACAACAAAAGACTCTAAAGATGATTAAAATTAATAAGAGAGTTTTGCATTGTTGCTGGATATAAACTCAACCAACAAAAATAAATTGTATTTCTACATACCGTCAACAGCAGAAAGTGAAATTGAAGACATCATTTACAGTAAAATAAAGATTAATAACCTAGAAGTAAATCTAAAAAAGTGGGGGTGGGGGGAGGTAGGAAACTTTGAGAGACCTTGGGGAACACCTGAACAAATGGAGACAGGAACCATTTTTATGGATTGAAAAACTCAGTATTCTAAATAGGTTATTCTTTCCAGAAATATTCAAAACTTCAAAGCAATTCCAGTAAAAAAAAATCCCAACAGGGCTTTTTTCACCCCCTGGGTAGAATTAACAAAGTGAAACTTAGATAAGAATGCAAAGCACTAAAAAAGTGGTCAAGAAAATGACTGAAGGACAAGGCAGGTGGAATTATTCAGGGTATCAAGGCTTATTTTAAAGCCACAGTAATTTGGCCGTGGAATTGGCCTTGGTATAAGCAAGTGTAGAATAGATCAGAACAGAATAAATAGAACAGAAACCGAGAACCAGCCCCACACACGTGAGCACTGGACCACTGGCAAAGGCAGTCATGGGAAAAGGAAAGGCTTTTTGTTCAGGAGCACTGGGGAAAATTGGGTATTTATTAGGAAAATAAAATAAAATTTGGGCCCCTGTGTCACAGCATACATAAACATTAACCCCATGTTGATTATAGACCTAAAAATAAAAGGTAAATTATAAATCTCGTAGAGGACAACATAGAAAATTATCTTCATGATCCCATGATTATAAAATAATTATAAAACATAATAGGAAAAGCACTAGCCACAAAGGGAAAAATAAATCAGTTCAAATATGTTAAAATTAAGAATATTTTTTTATAAAAAGACACCACTAAGAAAGCAAAAAGCAATGCATATACGAATAAAACTTATAGTTTTACAAGAGTATAATATGTTTGCAACATATGTAAAGAGTAAAACTCATATTCAACGTCGCTTAAAAAAAGAGAGACTACTCAAAGAAAAATAAGCACTTGTATACGAAAGAAGAAAAGCAAGTTGGGGATAAACGGGTGAAAAGGTTCTCAATTTCATTAACAAAGAATACAAATTAAAATCACAATGAGATCTAGTCCAAACTCCCCAGACAGACCTGCAAAAACTAGAAATTCCCTGTGTCAAGTAAAAGTACAGTACTTCAGAACATAACTTTGGTTTATTTAGGAAGATTAAAAATATGCATCAACAGCCCTGGCTGGTGTGGCTCAGTGGGTGGAGTGACGTCCCATGCACCAAAAGGGGGCAGGTTTGTTCCTGGTCAGGGCACATGCCGGGGTTTCAGGCTCAGTCCCCAGTGCGGGGTGTGCAGGAGGAAGCCTATCGATGTTTCTCTCTCTCTCCCTCTCCCTTCCTCTCTCTCCAAAATCAATATAAAACATATTTTTTAAAAATATGCATTCACATCACATAAATTCTGAAGATACTCATATATAACATGCAGTATAGTATATATACAAGATTGGTCGGGGAGGCAACATTATTCATGATATTAAAAAATTGGAATAGGGGGAAAAGGGAAACATCTGTAATACTTTAAACAGTAAAGGTCAATTTTAAAAATTTGGAAACACCCAAATGTCCATCCACATAGAATGGATGAACGACATACGACAATGAAAACGAATGAACTACAACTACACACAGCAACACAGAGGGATCTTAAGAAGCATCGTAATGAGAAAAAGAGGCACGTTGTAACAAAGTAAGGAAAAACATGAATTCGTTTGGAGTAAAGCTTAAAAAGAGGCAAAACTAAACTGTTTTTTACGGATGCATTTATGGCGGTGAAATTATAAATAAAAGCAAGGAAATGTAAAGTCAGGATGACAGTTACCTCTGCAGAGGAGAGATGATGACTGGAGCACCTGTAGAGTCTGGGGTTCGGGGAATGTCTTTTTCCTGGGCCTGAGTGGGGGTTACATGGGTACTTGTAACACAAGTCACAATAAGTCATTGTACTGGACACTTGCGTTTTATGTACTTCACTTTTTGTGTGCTACAGACCATAATTTTTGAAAAGATGAATGAAACTGTTCTCTGTATATTGATACTAAAGAATTCTTGAGCTATGTGTTGTAACATTGTTACCAGATGAGGTCTGGGCCTGGTGTGGGTCTGCCTCGGGCGGCCAGTGCTGTGTGGGTTCTTGACTTCATGCAGGAAAGATTTCACAGCACAAGTCCCGGTGATTTTGAGAGTATGTTTATTAAAGCTGAAGACAGTGAAACAAAGGAAGGGCTTAAGGTAGAAGAAGCAACAGGAGAGAGAAAATCAGAGAAAAAGGGAGCCTTGGAGACAAGTTCAGGGGGGTAAACCCTGGACGAGCTGCTGCTCCCCTGGTTGAGAGCCTCATGGGAACCCTTAAAGTTTAGGAGGAAGGCAGCAGAGATACAAAGCGTGGGTGTGCTGTAGCCAGACCCAGCCCTGGGTCCTTTGTCTTGAGGCTTTTTATCTCTCTTTGGCTGGTGAAATCCTAAGGGAGGAGGTCTCAGGGAGGGTCTTAACAGAATACTCATTAGCTTTCAAGGTGTGTCCTTCAATATGCTGATTCATCAAAACGTGTCTATAGAGGGGTCAGAGGTTATTTTCCGGTTAGTTTCATTTTTAAAGAGCGTCATCATGAACGTCATTGAAGAGGTACCTGGACCCAGGCAGGTCTGCCCCAGGAAAGTCTGGAAAGTGTAAACCGTTTGCACCTAAGTGTCCTTGGTTGGGGAAGATAAAACCCTGTGATTCCTTAGCTGGCCTATAAATCGCCCAAATTGTTTGGCCTTGTTTAATTATTTTGTCTCCGTTTCCCTTATTCCACTTGCCAAGGAATTCCCTTAACTTCTTACTCTCCTGCATCAAAATGAAAAGAAAAAAAACACACAAGAAAACAAAAAAGATGTGGAAAGTATGTGACATTTGCTACTATATAAGGAAAGGGAGGGAGGGAGGTGGGGGTGAGGGTGTAGAGAGATGCTTGCAGAAGAAGGCGTCACCAACACCAAAATAGCAATTGTCTGTGGGCAGGAAAAACAGGCAGCCAAGGAACAGGGTCATAAGAATGACTCTTCACCATATATCCTTGGGTGTCGTTTGAATTTTAGACCTTGTGAATGAGTAAATAAAATACCTACACAAAAGTTTCCCTATCGACTCTACACATACCCACAAGGGGTCGCTATTGAATGATTTCAGCTTCAGCTCCCAACCAGGGGAAAGCCCGTCTGAATCCACCCTGCTCTCACTAGGAAGCGAGCAAGTGTTATCTTTTACATTCTTAGTTTATTGAACTCCCATCATGTTTCAAATATATATGTGAGTTTAAAATAAGAGCAAAGAAGTGGAGAGTTAATATGAAGCCAGGAATGAGTTTACAAGAAGCATACTATTAATCATCTCCCACAGTGAAAACACACAAATTAGATTCTAAAGTTTCTAGCGTCCCATGGAAAAAAAAGGGGGGTTGGGGGGTAAATACAGTCAGACACAAAATTGAAAATCTTGCTGGGAGACTATTCAGAGGAGGCAAAACACTGTCCCCCGGTTGAGTCTGTTAAAGGCAATCGGTGAGAATCCTTTAGGTGAAATTCCTGACCGGTCTCAAGGACAAAAATAATTTATGATTCAATTACGAAATCATGCCATCTCCCTCTCTAAGGCAAGTTGAAGATGCTTGGGAACTGCGGACGAGGGACGTTTCATTCATGGTTAATTATGAATGAAAACGAAAGTGAGAAAGCAAGAAAATACATGGGGTAGAAAACAAAGAAGAAAAACCCTAAGCCTGCGCTTCAAGATTTCTGTGTCTAACCTCAAGGCAGAGCATGTCTCCACTTGGCTGCATTTTTCCAAAATGTAGCTAATGTCGTGAACTTTCTTTTTTTCTTGAAGCAGAGCTGGTTGCACGTTGGGCTACTAAGGGGTTAAATGCTACCTCCTACTTCAAGGGGAACTAGCCCAGTTCAAACACTTGGCTGGGCTCCGGGCGGAGCAGTATAAAGACCAGGAGGGAACCTGTGCCTGGGAAGCTCACGTCTCTGTGACAGGAGCTGCGGTGACCGCGGAAAACACCTCGGCAGTCATGGATCCATCTGACACGCAGAGCATAAAAATAGCTGTCGTTGGTGGTGGCCTGGTAAGCATCCACTTGGATATTTTTCCTCTTAGGGGTGTTACAGTTACTATCATCACTCTTAATGATGATTATTAATCACTCCTACAAATCGTTCATTTTCTACTGCTGACTTTCCTGATCTTTAAATATTCGTATTTTAAATCAGGCACTAGCTTCCACTTGCTGTCTCCTAGGGAAGGTATTTTACTTCCATTAGATACAAAGGTGTGTGTTTTCCCTCCTCGTTTTGATTTAGCATTTTTTTAAAAAACAAACAGAAAATAGAGATAACTGAATTCATTTATTCCCGGGTTGACTGTTGTTTTTTTAAAAAAATATTCCTGGAAATAGTCATTTTAATGAGAACATTTGCTTCACTTTGGTTAATAGCTCAGTTTATACTGTCTAATAAGAATGAAAGAGTCAAGAAACATGAAGCTAGTGCAAAATGGTCGCTTCGGGTGTTTGCTAGTCATTTGACTGACTGGGAATGAGCTCTGTCTGGTCACCTTATTTGGCTGGTCTAAGGGAGCACCTCGGGCACTGGGGTGTGGAGCCCCCTCACTGAGCAGGTGGATGACCTCCAGCGGACCTGCCCGGCATATAGTGAGATGTAGGAGGGAGTCTCTCTGCACCCACTGTCATCATACCAAAGCCGGTTCTGTCTAACACGGGACCACCTCAAGTAAACAGAATATCCCCATTAGTTAAAATTTAATTATTTTGTTTCCACCTTTGAGCTAACCATTGAGCAGTTAGCTCATAGATATTCATTCATTTATTTAATAACTCAACAAAAATTTATCGAGGGCCTATACGTGCCAGACGCTGTTCTAGGCCGTAGATAGATTAGCATATTTAATACCACACGTATGTTTATATAGCTAATTTTGCCTTCGGTTCTGCCTTCCTTATTGTCTTTTCCCCGAAGTACTACGAGAGTTCCTCTACCATTTCTAGTTCCACATTTCAAAATGCTAAGGAATGCTGTTACACGCCGTGTTGGTCAATGCATGTGACGTATGTTGTCATTTCTCCATATGGGGCTTCAGCCTAATTCTTTCCTATCAAAAATTCCTATCATAAACGGAGAATTCATGTATTAAACCAAATCCGTATTACTGAGTGCCTGCTATGTGCCAAGGTCATTTTAGATATTGGGGATTCAGTGGTGAAATAAATACTTTCAGCAAGAATGCTGCAAAAGAAATGCAAACAGGGTGCTGCTGTAGAGTATCTGATACGCAGGGGGTCAGAGACAGCCCCTCGGAGGAGGGGTTAGGTGACGGGAGACCCGAATACTGAGAAAGAAGCCACGGCGCTAAGGGCTACAGAAAGAGCGTGAGCATTAGCTGGGCACGTTGACAGAGCAAACAGAAAGGCAGAAGGAATGAGCCTGGGGAAGAGGGCAAGGCAAGAAGGCTGGATTTTATTCTGGGCACAGTGGAGAGCCATTGCAGGACTTCAGGTGGGAAAGCAAGCTGTGATTTTAAATTTTTCTCAGGCTGTTAGGTGGAGAAAGACTGGAACAACTTCTAGGAAAACAGGGTAGAGCAATTAAGAGGCTGTCGTGTTTGTCCAAGACTTGGACAAGGGTTGCAGCAGGAATGTCTCTTAGAAATCCAAGGAAAGGTAACAAATATGTGATTGGATGTATGATTTTTGAAGGCATAAAAATGTGGATATCACCCATGCATTTCTCACTGAATAGCTCTTGAACTCTCATTGTTTGGATAGAAAATGGAAGACAAATTAATGCACATGTATTAGGAAACAACTAAATGTCCTCTGCAGAGGAGGAATGAATTACAAAACACTAGTGGGGTTCTTTGTGATTCATTCTTCCTCTATTTGGCCCATCAAAATTCGCGTTAAAAGATATTTAAAGGGTAAAGTCATTCAAAACATCAGGCTGAGACAACTCATGCATTTTATGACTTATTATTGATAGCCGTGTCCTGCCGCTGGTGTTCAAGCCAAGGTAGTGGCCTCTGCTGATGAATTTGCCTTTGAAGCAACTTGACCTTGACACGAAGAGTGTGGGTCTCACCGCTAGAGATGTCAGCTTCTGTCGTGGATTTAGACACTCGAAATTGTCTTGATGCCAAGCGGGTCTCAGTTTCCCCATCTCGGGCTAAAACTAGGTCACTAACTCTTTTACCTCTAAAATCTCACTGCTCCTTTGTCATACGTCCTCACTTGGCAGGTCTCTAGCTTTGTTCTAAATCTAGTCTTTATAAAACCAGAAATCAAATGTCACCCAGAACTTTTAATTTCCCAAAGTAAGTCCTAGACACACACACACACACACACACACACACACACACACACTGTTAAAGGTCTTATAATCTTGGGTCAAGGTCTGCATATATAGCTTGGTTCAAGTAAATACTTTTTTTTCTTTTATATAAATATTAATGAGATAAATCATGTGAAGAACTTAATTACTATTAGCCTTTATTACTTTTATTTTATTAATATTTTAGCAAAACTGTTCGCTTCTCTCTCGTTTTCTACTCCCCAGGCCCTGAGCCTTCCTTTCTGCCCTGATGTCTAGCGCCTCCTACCAGCAGAAGTGGAGTAATTTCTTCATTTCTTTGTGGATCTAGGAGTCATTCTGAATCTGCTCAGTGGCTGGGGACAGGTTCCAATCTCACTCTGTTAGCTTTACTCTGTCTTTTGTCGTTTTGCTTGCACTCCAGATGTTCTCACTCCTTCTTCTAGCTGTCTTGCTTATGTATCCGTATGCCTCCAATATTGTTGGCTAACATTTTGAGATTTTTTTTGCTCCCCTGCTGGACCCCTAAGGCGCCTCGTGAATCCTGCTCTCGCCCCTGGTGTCCAAGTCAAGTCAGTGGCCTCTGCTGATGAATTTGCCTTGGAAGCAACTTGACCGAGAATCCACCCCTCTCAGAGTTCACTTCGCTGACTACCTCGTGAGCAGTTTCTGGTATAGAACCGATAATTCTAGACAGCTCAGAGCTTTGTTAGCTGCCTGCAAAAGATGTGTTTTTCTTTCCTTTTCGCTTATCGCAAATACTCCCAGATGGCTTGTCCATCTTTGCATACAGATCCATCCATCACATGTTCATATATCTGTTCAACTCAAAGAGAAAAGACGCAGTCACACTCTGTTGTTGATCGTCTAAGTCGGTACTGTTTCTATAAGATAACGTGAGAATATATAGAGAGATAAGATTAAAAATATGGGATATTGCAGACAGCAGCAGCAGCAACTAGGTCCAGGCGATCATGGTTCGATTCCCGGTCAGGGCACAGGCCCGGGTTGCGGCCTCGAACCCTAGTCAGGGGCGTGCAGGAGGCAGCCGATCAATGACTCTCTCATCATTGATGTTTCTCTCTCTCTCCCTCTCCCTTCCTCTCTCTGAAATCAATAAAGATATATATTTAAAAAGAAAAAGTTTTGAAAGAACTTTTTAAATTGGTAGCTTAGTCATCAATACCATGGGCATGGTGGGGCCAAAGCACATGCTCTGTAAAGAAGGAAGTAAGAGGAGACAGAAAAACAAGGGAAAATGGAAGAACAGAAAATTGGGTAAATCCACAATTAGGTAACCAAGGAATCTCCTCAGAGCTCTGCTTACGCACCCAAACACTAGACCAATTGTGAATAAAACTTTGATTTTACAAATCACTTGATGACCAGAATGGTTTACTATCCTGGACTTTTGGGGCATCAGAACCAATTGTTCCCCAATCGGGGATCGAACCCACAATCCAGGTGTGTGCCCTGACCAGGAATTGAACCTGATCGCCCAGGTCCTTCATAGAGGGGTCCCATCTCTACCAAGAGCTTTCACTGCCCCCAGGAGCCTAACCCCCCGGCCTCTCCACTCCTCTCAGCACCCTCAACACCCTTCCCTGTTTATCCTCAGGAACCAGCTGTGCTTTCAACCAGAGTTTGTGGTGGCCTCAGAGTGGTTACGCGCATTTTCCTTTCCATTTATACCTTCATCTCTTGGTACTTTCAGCACTTTTTTTTTTTGACAGCTTAACAGCTAAAGAAGGTACCGGCGGTTTTTCCCAAATAAGCACATTTTACAGAAAGTGAGAAGAGGAAACAGAGAGGGTGAGACGTCCTTCGTTAGCCACGTTCTGAATCCTTCTGGCTGAACATCTGTGACATCCACCGATATTTAATTTCTTTGAGTTTTATGCGAACCTCAGTCGCACAGAACTGGGGTCATCATAATCTTTGTTTCAGGGCCCATTCTTAGGACTGGCCTTGGAGAAGACATTTTCATTTAGATTTTTGCTCGTTTGTTTATTAATGATAACAGGCTGAAGCTGTAACCTTTGAACTCACCACTCAACACAAGAATTACAACATTGCCAAAGGCTTATACCTGCCTCTGGGCTTCTCTCTCAAACCCCTTAGAAGCATTGCCCTGAATCCTGTGTTTATCATTCCCTTGAATATATATATATATATATTTAAAAGCTTTATGTGTATATGTAGCATATAGACACATATTATTAATACATATATATTTCTAAAATTATGTGTATGCGAATATTGTGGATTAGTTTTAGTTGTCTTTTTTTTTTTTTTTTACAAGACAATCATGCAGTATGAAATTATTAAGAATATGTTTTAAAATATATATTAAGGCCCTGGCCGGGTAGCTCAGTTGGTTTGGAGCACTGTCCCCTATGTTCACCAGAAGGTTGAGGGTTCAATTCCTGGTCAGGGCACATACCTGGATCGTGGGTTTGATCCCCAATTGGGGAGCATATGGGAGGAAACTGATCGATTTTCTCTATCATATCAATGTTTCCCTCTTTCTCCCTTCCTCTCTCTCTGAAATCAATAAAGATATATTTTAAAAATAATAGTAATAAAATAAATAATAAAAATAAATAAATAAAAATTTGAGAGCATGGAGTCCTGGCAAGCATGAACTCTCAGAAGCTGCTGGTTGAAAAACACATTAGTATAAAATGTTAAAACACGTAACATAATAAAGGTAAGAAAACATAAGCCTTTGAACAGGGATTCCCCTTCCTAGTTTAAGACTCCAGAGAAAAGTCATGCACCCGTGTCCTAGGATTCACGTACAAAAATGCTCTTTGCAGCGTTGTTGGTAATATTTCCCAACCAGGGAACACTCGAAAGCCTTTCAATAGTAGAACGGCTAAATCATCTGTGAGATTTCACACAATGACGAATTGGACAGTAATAAAAATGGATCACCCAGAGTTTACCTGCAGCCACACAGATGACTCTCATAGGCATATTGTGGTGTTAGAAGCAAGGTGCAAAAACATACACACGTGTGGTTTTAATGATGTGGTTTAAAAAGCAAGGACAATTAACCCAGATTGCCTAGGGATATATATTTAAGTGATAAAACTATAAAGAAGCAAGGATGAGTTATCATGAAAGTCAACACAATATTTACCTTTTGGTGAAAGGTTGGGGATTGTAACTGGGGGGAAGGTGGGGGTTGCTTTAGGGGGGTGGCAACGTCCTGCTTTCTGACCAGAGTGATGGTTATATGGGTGTTTGCTTTCTAATTGTTGGTTAAACTATATACATGTTTTATGGTCTTTCTGTATGAAAGTTAGATCTTGCTAAAAAAAAAAAAAAAGAAAAAAGACCCCTAGCCTGTGTGGCCCAGTGGTTAGAGCGTCGGCCTGCAGATCGAAGGGTCGCGGATTCGATTTCTGCCACGGGCATGTTCCTTGGTCTCAGGCTAGGTCCCTGGCCCTGGCCGGGGCTTGTGCAGAAGGCAACCAATAGATGTGTCTCTCTTACATCAATATTTCTCTCTCTCTCTCCCCCTTCCACTCTCTCTGAAAAGCAATGGAAAAAATATCCTCAGGTGAGGATTTAAAAAAATAAAATAAAAAGAAACCTCTCTCTCAACTCATAGCACTCAATCTTGAATTATCCCATTACTGTTGCAAGCGGAGCCTTCTAGCAGTGACTGAGTACATCAGTGTAACAGCCAAGCCACACGCGGCGGAGAAAATTCTCCATCCTGGTGGAGTGAGATGAAAATATGATAAAACTTCTTTGATTCCTAGGTGGGATCCTTAAATGCCTGCTTCCTGGCACAGCGGAATTTCCAAGTGGATGTATACGAAGCTAGGGAAGGTAAGGCCTTGCTGCAAACTGAGATGCGGTTCTCATTCTCTGATCTCTTTCTCTTTAGATTTTAAAAAGATTTAAAAAAAAAAAAAAGAAGAAGAAGAAGGGGGAACTTTTAGAATTTTTTAAACCTCAAGTATCTAAATTCATTTAATACAAATTTACTATAATGAGCATTTTCTTTAAGAGAGTTAGGAAGGTCTTTGAACTTGGTGCCGGGCACACCGTTGCTCAGGTGCTACGTGCCCGTCCTGTCCTAGGATGGAAGGAAACGTGTGTAACGTGGAGCCTGCTTCCAATGTTTCAGATATGCGAGTGGCTAAATATGCACGCGGGAGAAGCATTAACTTGGCCCTTTCTCACAGAGGACGACAAGCCTTGAAAGCCGTTGGCCTTGAAGACCAGGTACCTTGTTAATGCATTTTCCTTGTAGGAGATAAACCAACAATGGCATGGTTTTTATCTCATTCCTGTCCAAAGCACTATTGAATGCCAAGAGCCTCACTCCACAAAGGTTTGGCAAGAGGCTGAACATTTGACACTTTGAGGCATCTAGGGGATCCAGAGAGTGAGGAGCGACATGGGGCAGAGGAACCCTGCCAACTCCAGGAATTTGGTCATTTCTTCTGATGTGGGCTCTCAGCAGGATGGTAGAGCTCTGCCTCCAGAAAGAGATCTGAGATGGCATTAAAATAAGAGAGCAGGCCAACTCTATTCTTTTGACTATACAGGTCCCTAATCGCTCACCCACAATCCTGTACTCCAAAAACCTCCGAAAATAGAAAGCTTTCCTCACCCATTCGGCAGAAAATTTGACCTGATGGGATGCTTTTTATGACCTTACATTTTTTTTCCACTTAGTGTGACTGTTTTACTACAGAAATATTTTACTTGATTATGAAGCAGTGCCCCAGACTCTGCTGGGAGCTATGTGATATCCACATTTGCACTAAACTACCTCCCAAAAATGTGAAAACCTCTGAATTCTGAAACCAACGGGTCCCAAGCTTTTGGAGAAAGGTTGTGGGCCTGTAATAGATTTTCCTTACGTGGCCTCAATGTCACTGAACTTCTTACTGTCTATCACGCAGCTTGAAAATGTGAATAGAAATGATGCCTTTTTCTTGATAGAACTTTTGCCGACAATGGTCTTCGAAATGATAATTAAGTCAATATAAGTTCTATTTGCATTTTTACACTTTTCTTAGGTCTGTATGAAGGAAAACACTGCACTGGGTTTCAGGAGTCCTGGGTTTTACTCCCCATGGAGTGCTTTCTTTTGTTATCATAAGAAAATCATTTTACCTCTCCAGCAATGAAACACTTTCCTCGAGTGTAATATTTGATTTGGATCCCATAAAGTTTAAATCGGTTCCAAAATCTAAAGGTCCAAAAAAAAAATGCAAAAAATTTGCAGGAGCACAGTTCTTATAGATGAAGTTTGAGCCATACTGTGCGCCCTATGGTCCTTTACGTTATATTTATTTTTGAAAATATTTTAAAATCACACTTTAAAATTGGTAACCATCTTATTTGCATAATGCCATGCTACAGACGCTGAGATGGGTATTTCTGGCTTTGTTGCAGATTGTATCTCAAGGTGTTCCCATGAGAGCAAGAATGATTCACTCCCTTTCAGGAAGAAAGTCTGCAATTCCCTATGGGACAAAGTCACAGGTAGGTTGACCCTGCGGAGACTTGTTTGGTTATAGCCTAACCAAAGTCTAAAGTCTATGGCTTGCACTTGGACCTGTTTCTGACATTTCCAGCCACAGTCTAGAAGTCAGGAATATAAACTAGTTAACAAGTTAATTCACAAGAGATGTTGAAAATAGGGCCCAGTCCCTACTAAACACCCAATAAATCAGCTATTGTCGTCCCTGGTACCTTGTTTTTTGTCTCTGTGCTTTGCTCATACAGGATGCCCTTGCCTTCTCATCTCCTCTCAGTTACCCAGAGAACATTGCAATGTATTTACTGTCAAGCATAATATGCAAAAACAACTTTGGAGGGTTTTACGATGTTGCTTTCCCTGACTCTCTCACCCAAAATTTAACTACAATGGAATTTATAGAATGAACCCAAAATGCTTTCAGTATTGTATAATTTCAAAAACATCAGAGTCCAGAATGTGATGTAGGCATTTATGGAAGAAAATCCTTATCTTGCTTTGTGTTTTCTTTTTATCTTCTACACAGTAACGTACAGAGTTGGGCAAATTTTGCACTGGGTGTGCAACATTGGGAATGTACTCAATGAGCTGTATATTTAAAATGGAAAGGATGCTATTTTGTATTATATGTATTTTGCCACAATTAAAATATGTTTCAAAAGTGGGTCAGAAGTAAAGCATTCCAACAACTAAGGGCTTTGGGGAAGGACGTGGCAGGGAGGAATCAAGTTTTCTATTTAATGACTTTTTAGAAATAATAACCTGCTTATTTGGGCATTATAAAAACATAGATACAGAATCTTCATTCATGAGCCTGGCAGGGGAATAAAGGGGTAGAAAGTCCTCTGACCATTCATAAGTCAGATAAACATTTTCAGATAATTAATATATCCTGTCTCATTGGCCCCAAATTGAGCTTGGTGTTATAGGAAAGAAACAATGTACACACACAGGTCAAGTATAAGCTCTGTTAACTGTGGGGGCTAAAAAAATATTAATACTTTTTCTCTCACCTTCTAGATTCTTCTGGTTTGGCCAATTACCAAATTAACAGAGACAGACTAACTGGAGAAAATCAAAATTTAATACATGCTCATGGGGAATTCACATAGACAGAATAAGTCCATGAAAAGTCCCAAAGACACTGAGGCAATAATGGATATATAAGACATTTTTGGACAATGGAGAAAGGGGTGGGGGTACGAGTATTAGATTTCAGAAGTGGGAGTGACGATTTACAGGGAAATGCACAAGACCAGATAACCCTTGCTAGGCCAGTCGGAGACAGTGGTGCACAGGGAGATCTAGCTAAGCACCTGCTGAAGCCCTCTCGTCTCCCATACTTAATTCAAATTAGGCTAAGGGGACACCCCAAAATCTCCTTCTTGCAGCGGGTGTCTTTGTCTGAATCTCTTGGCAGGAAATGGGGGAAGGGTTAAAGTTTCTTTCTGAGCCGTTGGTTTCTTAAGAAACAGCTTAAAATCAATATCCCTAAAAGCAGGGGAGCAGAATGTTATTGCCTTCCTTACTAAATGTTTTCTTTCCGTAAACAAGAATTGTCCTCTTGTGTGCCCCGTCCTGAGCCGGTTGCTGAGTGTAGGGAGGGGAGCTTGCAGCCTGGTCAGGGCAGGAAGCAATCACCCTCCGTGTGTGAACTCAGCTGAGGGGTGGCAGGGATGCTCGGCTGTGTGGTTTAGAGAAGCAGGAAAGCTTTGGTTTTCAGAGAAGTCTTCCCAGAGAAAGTGAGATTTGAGATAGACAATGAGTGGAAATCTTAAATCAGCAGTGAGACAGCGTTGTCCCAATCAAGGGAGGGCCTATCCATGGAGGGAAGTTGGGTGAGACCAGATTTCTAAAAAATATACGTGTTTGAGTGCCAAGTGTGCATTGAATGAGAAAACGTGTAAATGCACCTTGTCAATAAAGGGTCCGACAGTGATCAGCGACCTTGGATTCATTGAATCCAGCCACCTTGCTTTACAGATGAAGAGACAGGCCACACGATTACAGGAGGTCAAGGCCAAAGGAAAAACGAGGCAGGTTGTCCATGAGACAACAGCCAGCAGAGCGTGGTGTCCGAGGCCCTCACAGGAGGCCTGGGTACCCCTTTTTTCCTGGATTAACATGGAGTGTGCTGAGGAAGACCAATTCCTCATACCCATTCCCTCGGCAAAGATTGAACCAATAAAGTATAAATAGACGGAGGAGTGAAATATGGCTCAAGTTATCAGGAAAGCTTGATGAGGAGAGTGACTTGGACCTGAGATGACAATTGGCTTCGGGGTGACAGCGTCAGTGGGGGCTCCCATTTTGGGGCCTTCAATACAACAGAAGGAGGAAATGACTCCTTCCCCACCAATCCTACTATTTCTCAATTCTTAAGAATTGGGTCAAGGCTAAATTTATAGCCACCCCTCTTTCTTTGGTTTGTAGCACTGCTTTCACATCTGAGTCAAGCATGGGGGCCTCCTTACCCTTTACGGTTGCCTTGAACTACTTAATTCCATGCCTATGGAAGTCTAAAGCCCCCCGCCTGACCCCAGGATCTCCCCGGATCCCCAGGGAGCCTACCTCCTATTGCGTCCGCTGCCTCTTGGTGTCCGTTCCCTCTCCTCCAGTATTGGCTGTGCACCGTCATGGTCCAGACACGAAGTCCACCCCTCTAACCAATTTCTGCAAACAACACTCACTCATGAGACACATGAATATGCTAAAAACCTGTGGGTCCTGGAGAGCCCACGTTGCACACAGAACAGCAAACAACCTTGAAATCCCTAATGTGCACAATCTAATCTCCAAAATCCATCTAAACCCCTTCTCTGAGCCTCCCTCCTCTAGCTGTTGTTTTCTCTGCCCTTTGTCCTGCAGCGTCCAGGCTCTTCCTGTCTTGCTGGTTCCTCCCATCCCCACCCCCCAAACTGCCCTGGGAACTGTCAAAATATTCCCTAATATACAGAGCAAATCAGAGCTTCCCAATGTTTACTTCTAATTTTCCAAGCCCAAAGCAAACGTGCTCCCCTGCTAGGAAACATTCTCACTTGAAGGCATTCGGTACCTAGAATGTGAATATATTTGAAAAAGGCAGCACTGCAACTATTGCCTTACAAATTTCCAAAGGAGATAAGCCGACTTCCTTTAGATGATGATGGTGGTGATGATGACGAAGATGAAGATGATTTTGGTTACAAGAGCCATTTTTTATTATATTCTTCATAAGATCAACCTTTCAGAAAGGTTGGTGGGAGTTAGAAAGACTTGATGGGAGTTACTCTAACTTTTGATTATGAAAAAATACTACCCAAGGATATAGAGTAGACCAGACAGGGACCCTCCGTACTCTTCCTCTAGGACCCATGTGTCTATCATTCCCAGATATCAATCAAGCCCGATTATTGATATGGAAAAAATATTCCTATGTAAATAAGCTTTTATAGTTAGAATGTTTCCTAATATACTCTGAATAATAAGTGTGGTTTCTTCCATTGAAATGAGGTGATTAATGACATAGAAAACTGCAAAACAGAACTAAGAGAGAGAGAATTAATAGGTCCCTGTTAATTTCAATTTATAGCAAAGACGCAGGAAACTCTTCCCCTGTCATTGCTTCGGTAGCATAACCAAGTTATTTTTATACCAAGTATAGATTTAACTGTTAATTTTAAATGTCTACATTTGGATGAGCTGACGATTCATAAATTAGTATATTTGTGTTAAATGTAGAAGGCCATACTATGGAAAATTATATGGTTAAAAATTTTAAAGCAATAGGTTTACCCTGAATTGCAAGACTGCATTATGCCTTTCATGGGACCTAGGTAGGCATTCCTGCCTTTGGGGGCCCCTTTCTCTCTAAAACGATAAATAGTAAAAATTAGATTTTATGAGTGTACTGATATAAATATTAACACAATCTAGGCTAGATTCATTCTTATATATTCATTATACTTAATTTTTCTTCTGATTTTAAACTAAACTAAAATTAAAACATTTTGGTGTACCCCTAAATGTATGGTGGGCCCTAAGTACTGTACCTGGCATGTCTTATGAAACGATCAACCCCAGTGAATTGTCCTACAAAATACAAAGTCACAAACCACCAACATGTGTCCAGGGAGGGTTGATCCACTCCTACCAACCCCCTTCTGGCCACAACCATGAACACACACACACACACACACACACACACACACACACACACACTTTCACATTGAAATGAAGGCCTTCAAAGTAATCTCTTTGGGAAATAGTACATTTATTCTAGAGATGTTGTCATTTCTTAAGTTTATTTTATTTTAATTATTTTTTTAATGTGTTGTCATTGATTTCAGAGAGAGGCAAGGAGAGAGGGAGAGGGAGACAGAAACATCAATGATGAGAGAGTCATTGATCGGCTGCCTCCTCCACGGCCCCTACTGGGGATTGAGCCCAAAACCCAGGCATGTGCCCTGACCAGGAATCGAACTGGGATCCCCTGGATCATAGGTTGATGCTCAACCGCTGAGCCAAGCCGGCCAGCCCTGAAGTTTTTTTAAATCGCTCAATTTGGAGACCCAAGACAAAAATATGAAATTTACAGTTTATTTTTAAAACAAAACTGAGTGAAAATAGTATTTTCCTACAAGATAAGGGTTTGGTTTTTATAGTATCCAACTTTGAAGAAGCCTAAATTTAACTAAAGCATCGCATTATATGTATTTGGTTAAAGTGTTTTTGTGTGTGGGTGTTTTTTTAAAAGGCTAGTTAGCTAAACGGTCATAAAACTGAGCTTGCAACCTTCTGCTAATTAATAAATTTTTCCTATTTCGGAGTGAGTTATATAGAATCATGTTTGTCTGTTCTCCAGAAACAAATGTATCTACTATATTTTTCTTACAGTATATTCTTTCTATAAGCAGAGAACATCTAAACAAGGATCTATTAACTGGTAAGTCCAATGCTTTATTGACCAGATGTCAGTTTGTGTATAGCACATGAGACTAATCTTGTCACATGATTTATTGGGATTTGTTTACTATTTCTTTTTATGAGTAATTAAGAGCAGGACTATGTACAATACCAAGTCCTTCTTGAAAAGTAGCAGTGATGCATCCTCTTTTCATCTTTTCAGTGATCTAGATGGAAATAATTTGTTCAATGAGTATTGAATTCATATCATTTTACAGGCACTGGAATGAATGAGGGCTCTTCCTGATGAGTAACACACAGTCTAGTGGAAACAGCAGATATGCTCTGATGATTTGCAAAGTGACAAGTTAGATTTGCATTTCAGAAAATCAAAAAACAGTAATGCAGAGGCCATCAGAGAGTTGAGATCTTCAGAGTACTGGGTAATGCCTGGTGCAAAAAAAAAAACGAGGCCATGGACTAAAGCTATAGCAACGGGTTGGAGGGAAGGGAGTAGATTCATGGCATTTGTAGGAGACCCAGTAGATAGAGGGAAAAGCAGGCTGAAGAAGTGGAAGGAGTAAAATATAACCCTGAGGATCCTGAGTAACGACAAAGGCCTACACATTCACGGAAAAGCCCCTGGATTGGTAATTAAATCCAGTCACACCCCAGTAGCCATCGATTGTAGCAGTTTTCTCTCCTCTCCAGCAATTGTGCCAAACAGAGTCACTCCCTGCAAAGCACGCCCCTTAAGTATTCCCCCTGTCTCCTCAATCAATCTATCTTGATGGGGCCCAGTAGTCTCTGCTCTTTGGAGAGCAGAGGTTCCAACGACTTATCTGTTTCTCCGAAGCTCCCTATCCAAAGCCAGTTTGCAATATGTCTTTTGAATTGAATTGAATTCAACTGGGAGGAGGAGTTTTGGAGAAAGTCATTCTAGGTGACTCGCAAGGGCCTTAAGAAACTGGGCTTAGCATTCTTAATTCGATTTCTTTCCCTCCGTTTGTAAGATTGCCTTTTGGATGGGCAGATGGGTGGGGTGGGGCTAGGTGGCTAGATAGATTCATGTGGATCTTAAGAAAAGAGATAAACCAAAAGGCACCTCTTAAAAATGTCGTGTAGGTGGCCTAAGACAATCTCCTTATAGTATTTTCTGAATTTATTACAATGAAAATAACAGCAAATATTCATTGAGGCACCAGGCACTATGTTAAATGCTTTATATGCCTGGATTTCTATAACCCTCCCAACAACTACGTGAGGTGGGAATTATCTTTACTTCAGTTGTACAGATGGTGAGGGAGGCTTACGGGCCCCACAGGGTAACGGGTCACACTGTTAATAAGTGGTAGAATATGGATTGAAACCTAAGTCTGTTTATTCCAAAGCCCATGCTTTTAAATTACCATCATTGCCTCTAATATTATATATGAAACATCTGCTAATACTAAGGAGGTGACACGTATGGGGAAGATCCAGCCTCGGTGCACAGATCAGAAGCTCCCCGCACTGCCTGCGTTGAAATGTGCTGCACAGCACACGAGTTCACAAATGCTGTAAATACCTTAGCAAAATGCATGCTGAGCCTCTTGACCCCTACACTTTGGAATGTAAAGTTCTTTATTGCTTTACAAAAATCAAACGTATGAGCTGCCCACTCTACGTTGCCAATTAATTGTAGGTGCTCATTTCTTCCTGCCTGAGGCATTCTAACTAAAGCATTTTCACGCATCAGCATTTCTTGAGGGACTTTTTAATGATTTGCTATTCTGTGGAACATTAGTAATTGCTAAGCAAGACACAAAGAAAAAGAACACAGGGTCAAGTGAGTCTGGTAAGTCCTGCATCAAACAAGCTTTAAGTCTTTCTTCTTACAGTACTTCTCAGGGCCTTTATTGGACTAGTCTGCGTTGCAGATCTTCTAGGGCAGTGCTGTCCAAGATGTAGCCTCAAATGCCAGCCATATGTATAATTTTAAATTTAACATTAACCACATTAAAAAAAACAAAAACCTAAAGAGAAATAGGTGAACTTAACAATGTATTTCAACCCCATGTCCAAATATTATCATTTTAATGTGTAATCAATATGACAGTTCTTTATGAGACATTTTCAGTCTCTTACACTTTTTTGTACTAAGTTGTAAAAATCCAAAGCATACAACACATCTCCATTTGGACCAGCCCCCACATTTCAAACACGCAAGAACCACAGGTGGCTGGAGACCCAGCCAGCACAGCCAGGATGGTCAGAGTGTTAGTTAGCATTTCTCAAAAGGATTTGACCACAGGCCAGTTTGTTGTCTTTTAGGGAGCACATCCCAGGACTATTGTCCTGTGAAAAAATCCTTTGGGATGTATTAGAATACATTTAAGAAAGAGTAAAGTAGTCGATGCCACGAATGCCTTCTGTGTTTGTCAAAGGTAGGCTTGGCAGTTCAGGTGAATTCCGGTTTCTCCAAAGTTATTTGCCAAAAGGTTTCTTATACATAAATAAGTCTTCAGTTTAAGGCCCCTCAGATTTCAATCCCACATTCAAGAATCTTAAAGGCTTCAAACCCCGAATCAAGCTCAGTCAAAATGAAACAAAAAGATCCAAAATCTGAGACTAGAGGGAGGCAAGTAGAGGCAGGAACAGTGAGTTGAAAGCCAGAACCTCTGGTACATGGGCCCTGTCTTTTTCTTTTCTGTGACCTCTGGCATCTTCCCTTTCCTTCCAGGATCTCCATAACTCCACTTATTAGATGAACGGCTTTGAACTAACCCTTACCTCCTGATTTGTGGCTTTGGAAACAAGAAAAAGCCTGTAATGATAGCTTTCCTATCCTTGAGACTAAATAATGACAAGAGTCATATTTTACTACTCCGACAAGAACAAACAAACAAAATACATTGACATAACCTGATTCTCTTTATTAGGAAGGTTCCAACAGTTTGACTTATTTCCTCCCTAGTGTCCGGGTGTGTGATTATAAAAAGAACTCGTGTCAATAGCCTACATTTGTTAGGACTGGAATCAGGAGTCTGGAGGGCTTAGGGCAGGCACAGTGTGAGAGAGTTTGGCTGAATATTTTCAATCACAATGAAAACCTTAAGTTATAGGGAGCTTTTAAAATATATACAGCCTGTTTACTTTCCAGGGTGCCAGTAATCTCAGCAATGTAAGAATTTGCATAATGGAGTTAGTTGGATTTATTATTTATTTATTTATTTTGATTTATTTTGTGAAATGAGAGTAGATGATTTTTATCCATGTCTTTTACTATCAAATTACCCTGGAACTTTTTACCAAATAAAATTACCATTTTAATCATTTTTGCCTGGTAAAAATAAATAGCCGTATCATACTGTCAGAAAACGAGTCCTATTTCAATTTCATCAAGTGAAATAAGAATTAGAATTTTACTTTTGTTTGCTCTCTTCCCTTGTTTCCTCAGCTGTTGAGAAATATCCCAACGCAAAGATGTACTTTGGCCACAAGCTATTGAAATGTAACCCCGAGGAAGGAACGCTCACGGTGCTTGGGTAATCAATCACCCCCAGCCTGTTGACTTCACAGGGAGGCGAGAGGGATTCGAGTGGAGAAGTTTATCTGTAAACTTTGTTCTTTGGCTCTTTTGAAAAGAGTTAAATGATTAGTAAAAGGCTGCTGCAACCAGATTCTGGATTTGACCATACTCTGCTCCAACCAGATTCTAGATTCCACCACACTCTGCTGAAACTAGATTCTACATTCAACCACACTCTGCTGAAACTAGATTCTACATTCAACCACACTCTGCTGAAACTAGATTCTACATTCAACCACCCTCTGCTCCAATCAGATTCTAGATTCAACCACACTCTGCTCCAACCAGATTCTAGATTCCACCACACTCTGCTTCAACCAGATTCTAGATTCCACCACACTCTGCTCCAACCAGATTCTAGATTCCACCACACTCTGCTTCAACCAGATTCTAGATTCCACCACACTCTGCTCCAACCAGATTCTAGATTCCACCACACTCTGCTTCAACCAGATTCTAGATTCCACCACACTCTGCTCCAACCAGATTCTAGATTCCACCACACTCTGCTCCAACCAGATTCTAGATTCCACCACACTCTGCTTCAACCAGATTCTAGATTCCACCACACTCTGCTCCAACCAGATTCTAGATTCCACCACACTCTGCTCCAACCAGATTCTAGATTCCACCACACTCTGCTTCAACCAGATTCTAGATTCCACCACACTCTGCTCCAACCAGATTCTAGATTCCACCACACTCTGCTCCAACCAGATTCTAGATTCCACCACACTCTGCTTCAACTAGATTCTAGATTCGATCACATCCTGCTTCAACCAGATTCTAGATTCGACCACACTCTGCTCCAACCAGATTCTAGATTCCACCACATTCTGCTTCAACCAGATTCTAGATTTCACCACACTCTCTTCAACCAGATTCTAGATTTCACCACACTCTCTTCAACCAGATTCTAGATTCGACCCACACTCTGCTGCGGCTAGATTCTAGATTCGGTCACACTCTGCTTCAACTAGATTCTAGATTCGGCCACACTCTGCTTCAACCAGATTCTAGATTCAACCACACTCTGCTCCAACCAGATTCCAGATTCGACCACACTCTGCTTCAAACTCTCTCCTCCCTGGAAACAGATGCCTCTCCTCAGCCCTGCTTCTCCTCTTTCTGGATGCTATTTGTCTGCCTCTCCTTAGCTGACTCTATTTCCTCTAAAGTTCCAAGCCTCATGACCTACTCTTGAGATCCATGATGGATTCCCAGTCCACTCAACAGCCACTGATAAATTTATGTCTCTAAAAGGTACCTCTCTAGCTCAGGCCTGTACCTTCATCCTCAGTCCTACATTCAATCCTAATCAGTGTTAATTTCTCCTTAAACATCTTCATAGGGACCTCTTGCCATGACCTAAAACTTGCCTGAGACCTTGATCACCTGCTTTTCTCCAAGCATGTCCCACTCCTGACTGCCCTAGTACTGTTACCCAGATAACGAGAATCATTGTCATGTGCCCGTTCCTCTATTTTCTCTGAATTTTTGTACTGGCCTCAGAGTCTATGTCACCTTCTTCCTGAGCACCGCAGTCCTTGGCTATCACATCTGCACAGGTAGGCTACTGCGGTCACCTGGTTTCCATTTCCCATCTCTTCTACGGTCTGCCTCCACTTCAGCACGTCTCCTGTGAGTGAGGTTTCTTAAGTTACCACTTTTCATACATCATCTCCCCAATGGGAAAAAATAATTATTTTGCCAGGATAATGTATTTAAATCTTTTGTCTTAACATTCAAAATTATCTTCTCACTCTGCGCCCTCCTCACACTGTATTCTTAAGTGCATCTTCTGCTCCCCTCTGCTCAAGCCGAATGTGTTCTCCTAAAATGTCCTGGTCGCATCCCTCCTCCCTCATGCAGGGAACTCAACCCCTAGACACACTTCCATAGCCTCGCACGCCTCCATTAAGCAGTGCGGCTCTGTGTTTCTCTCATTCTGGGAAGAAAACCTGTGACAGGGAGAAGTGCTACCATCTTCATTTCATAGCTGTCAACTCAAAGCTTGAAGGCAGGTTTGTAAATGGGAGTAGCAGCCCCACTGACTCACCTTTTTTTTTTTGGATGGTTCTTTGTATTTTTCAGATCTGACAAAGTTCCCAAAGATGTCACTTATGACCTCATTGTAGGCTGTGATGGAGCCTATTCAACTGTCAGAGCTCACCTCATGAGGAAGCCCCGCTTTGATTACAGCCAGCAATTCATTCCTCATGGGTACATGGAGCTGACCATTCCACCTAAAGATGGGGATGTGAGTCCTTTCCTTTCCCATCCCCACACCCCACCTCTCCTAGGGCAGCTGTTCTCAGTCGCATGTCTTGGTCAGTTTTGAGGTTGGCACAAGCACTCTGTCATTAATAAGAAATTGGAGTATAGATATCCCTTTAATAATATCCCTCTCTCTCCCTTACCTGTTGATATACTTTCTTAAGTAGTAAAGAAAGAGAGGATTTGCAACCACCGTACTGGAAACACACAGGGACTGTGTCCTACATAATAATATAATTTTTCTATTCTCTTGAGAGAAAAAGGGGGGTTGGGAATCAGTTCTGAGCACTGACTGTCCAGAGGCCTTGTCCTCGCGATTAAGTCAGTAACAGTTATTAAGTACAGTGAACAGCAGGACGTTGCAAAGAGATTTCCAGGGACTTTTCTTATTCCCTTGTTCCCGTGTTGGGCCATATGTGGCCTGAGGCAGATATGTGATATGTATGTTTTATATTGTCATAAGCAAGTAACTGTAGGAACTTATTAAGGAAAGCTAAAATACCAAAGAAAGTAATGAAGATCTTGGCTTATAAGCAAGAATCGGTAGACAGTGTTAGTTAGATACTTGATTTGCATATAAAAACATGCGTTTTTTAAAAGTGCTGATCTAATCTATCTGTCTGAAATTCAGATATCTGTAAAATAGCTAAGCATTTAGGGATAGTGGTATTCTATACCAGTTATACACCAAACTGTATCCATCAGTCAAATCCATCGTTTAAGATTTTGTCTTTCTACTTCTTTCTGGTCAAAAACGTGTTTCCTAATTCTTCAGTGCTGATTCTATGGTTTTCTGGCAGATCTGTTCTCATGGCCCAGCATCTGATAATTCTGAATTACAGGATAATACAAAAACCACTATTTTGACATAGCAGTGTGATCCAGCCATGGGAATATTTTGATGTCACCCAAAAACAATCTACTGAAAATTAGCCTTCCCTTCCTTCCTTCCTTCCTTCCTTCCTTCCTTCCTTCCTTCCTTCCTTCCTTCCTTCCTTCCTTCCTTCCTTCCTTCTTCATTTTTCTTTAATGTAACAGATTCTCTTATTCCATCTCTGATGACTGAAATGGGGATGAGCGATTGGGTGCGTGACAGTACTGGGTGTATATTAGAGGGGTGCTTTCGGGAAATGAATGGGAGGCTCATCTTAAAGCTCTTTTTGCACAGCAAGCAAAATGCTTTTGCTTAGACTTCGTGTTTGGGGGGACTTGTGGTGAGAGGGCCAATGGCGATTACTACAAGCCCAACCTGGGGACAGCTGTTGGATGAAAATGTCTATTGAGAGTATGACTTGGTAACAAAAGGTGAAAAATTAGCCCGGCCAGGCGTGGCTCAGCTGTTGAGCATTGACCTAGGATCCAGGCGATCAGGGTTCGATTCCCGGTCAGGGCACATGCCCGGGTTGTGGGCTGCAGCCGATCAATGACTCTCTCATCATTGATGTTTCTCTCTCTCTCTCTCCCTCTCCTTTCCTCTTTCTGAAATCAATAAAGATATATTTAAAATAAATAAATAAATAAAAATAAAAGGTGAAAAATTAAACGGTTGTTTTGCAAAGTCGTGAAATATGTATATGAACACCAAAATGTTCTTGGCATCATCTTGGCTTTCTCAAAACAATATGTAAACTATTATCTATGCCAGTGTGGAAGACGGGCGGTACATATTACCTTCCAAACTGTTTTTAACCAGCAGGTTAAACCTTCACTCTTGCAGTAAATGATAAACTGGTCAGCGGTCATTTCTCTGCTCTTTCCTGTTTTTGGAGCTCTAAAAGGTTGTGGAAATGGCCAAAAGATAGCAAGAGGGAAAAGCTTCCCCCAGACTGGCCTCTTTAGTGCCCATCTCAAACACTGCTCACTTGTGCAGCCCCAGCCCTTCCCCACCGCCCTGCACTCCTTTCCCATGAACCCCTTGCTTTAACCACTCCCCCCCCCAAATTTCTTACCTGCCCACTTTTACTTCCTATGCTTCTAATTTACCACCAAATCACCTCCCGCTTGAACTGCTGGTAAAGGGAAGTTACCTGGCTTTCCGTGGGGATACATGTTGCCTCTCTGACTGCACCGTGAGGTCTCTGAGGTCAAAGAGTTATGCACTTATTCATTTCTATGTCTATGTATTGGGCTTTTTTCGGGGTTCTGGGGATTAAAGAGCCAGACAGGAACATTCTGTTCTCTTAACACACAAATAACTGTAACAAGTATGCAAATGTTAGCTAGGAGACTATGCTGTGCTTCCCGTGTCCCTTACCCTGTGCAATGTACACATGGCAAGTGCTTTCTAAACAACTGTAAAAAGTAATGCAAACTTGAAATAGTTGGGAAAATGATTGTATCTTCTTGTATGTATAAACTATCCCTGGGAACCATAAGGGTTTGGGTCAGTTGGGTCTTGGGTCCATTGATCTACCCAAGTAATCAGTACTTACTCAGGCTGCTGTTGCACTGACAAGACCAAATATTTACTATTTGTGACGTGGGAAACAAGTGATAAGAGGCTTGTTTGTAAAACTTGGTTTTGCCCATGAAATTTAAATTAGAACCTTTCCATCCATACAAATATGTCCCCAAATAAGGTGAACATAGAGTATAAAAATATTGTACACATATATATGTATATCCATATATATGTAGCTTATATGTGTATAAATATATATTTTATGTATGTATGTGTATGGAAATACAGAGAAGGAAGGGAGAGAGCATCTTATAGCCTGTTCTCAAATCTTCAATTATACCTACTATCAAAAACCCACCATACTGGCATGCAGAATATGCTATTGATTTTAAACATTTTGAAGTCAAGTGATCATGTACTTTTGTAATAAAAGGCAATGGTTTTATATATATATATATATATATTTTTTTTTTTTTCACCTAACTTTGAGTTTATAAAGGTAGAACACAAAGTATTTTCTAAGACTATTTCTACATTATGTAGCAGTAGATATCACATGAATGATACTGACTTAAATTGCTGTGGAAAAAAATATGAATAAGCAGAGTCAGTTTTATAGATGTTTTGCATTAATATACTAACCAAAGATATATATATACATTTTTTCTGCAGTTTGCCATGGAACCTAATTATCTGCACATTTGGCCGAGAAATACCTTCATGATGATTGCACTTCCTAACAAGGTAGATAGAATCTCTTATCAAATGTAATTCTGCATCTATAATTAATGCTGTTTGCACTTAATGTGTGTTTCCCCAATTAATCTCACCATGGTTTAGTCTATTTAGTGACTACATATTTGAAACTTTGGGATAACTGAGGAAAATCCTGAAATCATCCCAATTATTTACTTTGGAAAGGGGGTTTAACATACGTGGTGACTAATGGGGGTTGTGTGTGGTGGTGCCTGTCATCTTTCCCAAGACAGTGTAGGAAGACATGGCCCCCAAACAAAGCCAGAGGCTTAGGTTGTATATTAGAAAGTACTTTCAGCCTTTAAGATTTATAAAACATTGGAATATTCGTCATCAAAAAATAGTAAGGCTGCCTGGCCGGTGTGGCTCAGTGGTTAAGCATCGACCTAGGATCTAGGAGATCGCGTTTCGATTCCCGGTCAAGGCAAGTGCCCGGGTTATGGGTTCGAACCCCAGCAAGGGGCGTGCAGGAGGCAGCTGATCAATGACTCTCTCATCATTGATGTTTCTCTCTCTCCCTCTCCCTTCCTCTCTCTGAAATCAATAAAGACATAGTTGAAAAAAAAAGTAGGGCTGTTCTTTCATGAGACTCTACACTTTTTTGATATATAAATATATAAAATATATATATTATTGTATATTATTGTATATATATTATTGTATATTAATATATATTATTGTATATTATTATTTTATTGTTGCTGTTGTTATTATGTGCAATATAGATACATGCAGGTATCTGATTCTCTGGTGGGTCTTTTACTCTTACCTTTTTTTCTCTTGTTATCAGTCTGGGGTCCAAGGCCTATTAATACTGTCATAAAACAAGCAACAGAGAAAAAAAAGGAGAAATGAAATCCAACTAACATACTAGTGATCTAAGGTGTAGAGTTTGCCTGGTGAAAATGTCTGGAATTTACAGGGTAGAAATTCTCCTGATAACTGAGAAGCTGGGGAGTAGCCCCAAGACTTGGCAGAGCTTTTCCCTGGGAGTCGAGGGACAGAGCGAGGGGGCCCCTCCCGGCCGCCCGGACAGTCCTCCCAGGCCCCCCTCGGCCACAGCAGGCACCCTGTGACTGGGGGTCCCCACCTGTGCCTACATCACGGCCTCCTGTTCCCTCTCTCACTGTTCTTTCCCTGGCAGAACAAAACTTTCACGTGTACTTTGTTCATGCCCTTTGAAGAGTTTGAAAAGCTTCTCACGGGCAGCGACGTGCTGGATTTCTTCCACAAGTACTTTCCGGACGCCGTTCCCCTCATGGGAGAGTAAGTCGCAAGCTGTGCAATTGTGTCCTTTGCTCCATGGCTAAGTTACTGACATGTCACATGAAGGTCACGCACCTCATTTCGATTTTGCTCAAACACGTCCGGTGGCGCAGGGACCTAGACGTGAAGCCTGTATTAGCAAAAGAAGATGCTGTGCTGAGAGCAGTTAGCTGAGCAAGCCCAGGCCACTGCCACTTTCTCTGGGAAAGACGAGTCACCTGTGTCCCTAGGCCTTTCTGTATCCTGTGCGGGCTGGCAGGCCCCCCTGGTGGATAAGCGAGTCTGTGGCCCAGGAGGCACCAGCAGGCCCAAGTTCAGGTCTACCGCTTACTAGCTGCCTCAGCTTTCCTGCATCTCAGCAGGAAAAGGGCCATAGTGACATACCTGCCCCAAAGGGTTACCGTGGGGACTAAAGGACACGTGCCCATCAGTCAGCCATCGCAGGGCCTGGCCCATATGAAGTCCCCCAAGATTAATAGCTAATTGTATTGGTTGCCTTGTTTAGAACCCACGGCTCCTGGGGCCCAAGTCAACATCACCCTCCACGGGGGCCTCTGTCATCTCGTCTCACTCAGGGCCTCCGCCCCTCCTGGGATCCAGCTCACGTCCTCCCTCCAACGATGTCTTCATGGAGGCACAAGGCTGCAGAAAGAGCGAGACTCTAATACTGCTCTGCCCCCTACTTCCCTGAGTCTCGGGTTTTTCATCTTTAAAATGGGCATCCGGCCCTGGCTGGCGTGGCTCAGCCAGCTGAGCATCGCCCCATGCACCAGGTCTCTGGTTCAGTTCCCAGGCGGGGTAAATGCCTGGGGTGCGGCTCAATCCCCAGCAGGGGGTGTGCAGAAGTCAGCCAGTTTCTCTCTCACATCAATGCTTCTCTCTCTCTCAAATCAGTTAAAAAACTTTTTAAATTGGCGTCAGAATACCTATTTTTTTTAGGGCAGTTTGTGCAAATTTAATGAGCTAACTAGGTATAAGGGGCAGCCCATTGCCAGCCCATAGCAAGTCTTGGAAAAATGGTCAGTTTTCACCCTTTCCTGCCGCCTGATTCAGTCTATATTGACCTCCCCTACTCCGACCTTGATGGAAACCTGTTTGCACACCGAAATTTAGCTCTTATATCCCACAGCTATTTCTTGCCTTTCCGTCCAGATTTAGGATCCAGGTGACATACTGTTTCTCTACTTACAGCTTCCACGAAACCTCTGTAGACGCTTTTCAAACACCAGCTTGATTCCAACTGTCTGCTTTCAAATACATATAAATTCACATTAGCTTTTATTTTGGTTTGTCGTGGTTTAATCAAACGCACAGCAGCACTTTGATGTTTCCACGAACACCTAAACGCACCAACCCCGCTGAAAACTGCGTGGCCCGTGCACGTGAAATTTGCATGACATATACATAAAGAGACATATTTCAGATCATTGAAATGCAGCCAAACGTGTTCTTTTTGATTATGATTAATATTGTTGCAAACCAACGAAATTTGCAGATCAGAAAAAAATGCAGTCTCTCCCTTTCCTGCCATCTGCGTGTTTGTCAATAAAATCCTACGGTGGTAGAGCCCGTCACTGTGAAAGACTCAGGCAGTGCCCGGTGCCCGGTTTAACGTCTTTCCATCCTGACCACGTTTCTCTGAAGGCAGGCCCTGTCACGGGATTTCTTCCTGCTCCCGGCACAGCCCATGATCTCTGTGAAATGCTCCCCTTTCCACTTCAAGTCACGCTGTGTGCTGATGGGAGACGCAGCCCACGCCATTGTCCCCTTCTTTGGGCAAGGAATGAACGCGGTAAGTTCTTTCCCCCCGGGAAATCCCACCCGAAAACCCTTAAATAAAACCAAAACATGTCTGAAACTGTCCCCACAGAGTCTCTGTGAACACAACCAATTCTACAATCGTAACTGCTGTTGAACTAGATTCATCAGTAGCTATAGTCAAGACTTGAATGAGTTGATCCAGTCATTTAATGTAGAGGAAAAAAGCGTAAAGCCTGAGAGAGTCATCTGTACAGTTAGCAAACGCTTTGATAGCTTAAAATTCGGAGACTTGACTAGCAGCAATATAAGACTTAATTTTTAAGTATTTTCCTAGAGATTATGGGTAAGTATATAAATGTTAGGCTCAAAGAAAGAAACCATCCTAAATTATCTTTTTTCCCTTCACTTTTTTACAAAGGAATGGAAAAAACCACAATTGATGGGGTTAAATAAAACTATGAAACAGATTAGATGTTGAATACTACTGCTTTCATGGAAATTTTATTGTTCTGGCTAAAAAAACTATTTCAGAAAAGAAATGGTGTTCAAATATCATGTGTGTGTCTTTGATAACTAATAGCTTTATAATCATAGTCTTTTATTGTTTGGGTTATTGGGATATATTCCAAGTATGAATAGGCTATGAATCCAATCAATTATATTTCCTACAAAGCAGTGGTAAATAAACATTTTGTTTTACGAAAACATAAGAGCACACAAATTTTAGTGGGTAAGTGCCCAAGCTCTGGCATCAAAAGGCCTGGGTTCAAATCCTGACTCCACAATTTGTTAAAATATGCTTTTGCATAACTAACTTACCTTGATTCCCTCTGTAAAATTGGGATTTTAATAGTATCTACCTCATAGAGATTCTTGGGATGTATATAAATTAATTAAGTAAAGAATTTAAAAGTGTTATTATCTCAGTCCTATATGGTATCTCTCACATCTAAATTAACAGTCTATATAACTGACAAGTAAGTTTATTTGCTTCAGATGTAATCTCTATATTTGATGTAAAGGTTATTCCATTAACTTTTACATATATTATATTGCCTTTAAAACTGTAGTTTGAATTCCTAGAAAGCAGGAAACACAGCTTTTGACTTTTTTCTTCCCCACTGTATTTAGCATTGCACCTTACTAATTTTGTAGAGTTCTTAATATTGGAAATTTGCTTTACTCTTGGCTTATAGGAACTAAATTAATATGAGAGTTTTATCCTCTCATTAAATTGCTCTAAATCTGAATCTTAAAGACCTGGATAGTTTAAATATAATTCTAATACTCATGGAAGAGCAATATAATTATTCTTACTTCTTGAAGAAGCAGTGGAATCCATAAAAAATTGCAAGAGTAATTTAAAATTCTGATCAAATTCCAAATTATAGATAACATATATATGAACTGGGCAAAGACAAAACCATCAAGCAGGCAGTTGATGGTCTTTTAAAATCATCATTTAATGCCAGGCATGACTGTTCAGCTGCCGTGTGCTGGTTGAGGTAAACATCCTATGAACTACTAATGGAAGGCCTACTCAAAATTGCTAAGAAGCTTTCATTATTTCTAGTTTATTTTTCCCATTTTTTGTTTTCTTATTTCAGGGCTTTGAAGACTGCCTGGTGTTTGATGAGATAATGGATAAATTCAATAATGACCTTAGTAAGTAAAATTTCTCAAATGGACATGGATGAGCCCTGCTCATTAATTGTGGACCTATTTCTGATCCTGGGTGGTCACAGCCGCCCTCTGCATATTTCCTGGTCAGGATTATAAGTGTTTCTGCTGATAGATTCTGCTGTTCTCACTGCCCATATCAGTCAAAGAACACCCAGAGAGGGAAACATAGTTTTTGTTTCTTGTACATGGAGGTCTAGGCAGTGATCCACACAAAGATAAAAGCTCCGAGACCAGAAATTGGCGGAGAGATGCTCCTTTCTCTCCCATTCAACCTGGGTGCCACCCTGCCAGCACCCCTATAGCTGCCCTCAGATACACTGTCAGAAGCTCCAGTGTTCTCTTACCTTTTACCCGATCAAAGGTCTCAATCCAATACTTCCATTTGCCTTTTGATTAAAATTGACTCCACCAATATGTTAATTTTACAAACATAAAAGCTTAAAAAGTTTTATATGTAATTCTGAAATTAAATTAAAAGTACACACTTTCCACCTGTAAAAGAAACTGCAAACAATGGCCTAAGAACCGAATAGCTCTGGCTGCTTCTCAGCGTTATGTGGTCTCAAAGGCACCCTTTGAACCTAAACCTGTTCCAGGTGAGGGATGGACTAGGAGAGCTGCCTCTAAACCTCCACTGGGTGCCAGTTGTGACTCACCAACTAACGAGCTGTGTTACCTTGAGCGAGTCACTTCATCTTTCTAAAGTCTCAGGGGATATTTTTTTCATCTAGAAAGTGGAGATGATAACACCAACTTCAGAGAGTTGTTGTGAAAATTAAATAATTTGCATGAAGCTTTTTTAAAAAAAAATCTGGTGCAAAATAAATTCACAGGAAATACTTTTTGTAGGAAATCATGGGCACTGTGGTGCCTGCATCGGAAGAGAGCACAGGTTCCAGGACAAATTGCTTCTGGTTTTCTTCCAGCTCATATTGCTTCCCCCTTTCTTAACCCTCATGTGATTGGTGTCATGTGCTACCAATGACCGAGGAATATGGAGGCTACATGTATCAGTAGCCTCTGTCACTACTGGCTTTGGTCACTAGAGAAGAAAGACAGGACAATAACAATAGGGCAGTTATAATAACTAACATCGCTCAACATCCCATGTGTTCGGCGGCTTGATGTCCTTTCAATGCATTATCTCATTAAAGAACACCCGGGATAGGTGCTATTCTTGCTCCTATTTCACAACTGAGGCAACTAACTTGTACACAGTAATTTGCACAAAGCCATGTGGCTGGGAAGTGGTAAAACCGGGCCTTGCACCCAGATTCTCCCACTTTAGAAAGGGCTTCCTTACTAGCTAGAGTTGTTTGGCCATGTGGAAGTCATAGTAGTTAGTCAGTAACTTATCAAATATATTTATTCAGTATTTGCTATATACCAGGTGAAGATTTCAGACACGAGTATGACATGGGCCTGCTTCTGGTAGCTCACAGAATAGTGGGGGAGCTGTGGTTTCAGTTGATAAGGTGTCTTAGGCGCAATGAAATATCATGCATGGGGCAGCAAGAGAACAGCAAATTCTAGGCCGGATGGGGGTGGGGGGTCATGTACAGTCATATGAACTGCTTTCCACTTGTGAAATAAGAAAATAATGATTTTCTAATCAACCAGTCTGCGTTACATTATCGTTGTCACAAGTTTTATTTACTCGCAATAGGAAATACTTATGTGTTATTGCTCAGCAGTCATAGATTGTTGGTCACGCAGCCGGGTTGCCCACAGTTTTAAGAAGTTAGGGAGAGAGTACACTATTTAATTTTACCTATGCAGAGCCCAGCTCATTTTTCTAGACTGCCTTGGAAAACATGCATTATTTAACTTGGCTTGTAGGTTTATGTCTTCCTGAATTCTCAAGGGTTAGGATTCCAGATGACCATGCGGTTTCAGACCTATCCATGTACAACTACATAGAGGTGAGTGAGACGGTTCGGCTCTGCTCCATGAGGTCACTCATTGACACTCTAACAAATTTTTATCAAAAATTTACTGATGAACAAAATAGGTTCATGGAACAGAATAACAGATCTCAGTGGGGGTAGGAGGGGACAGGGAGAGATTAACCAAAGAACATATCTGCATATATGCATAACCCATGACACAGACCATAGTATGGGGAAAGCCTGGGGTGGGGCAGGGTTTTGGTGGAGGGGGAAAATCAGAGACATCTGTCATAGGCTATCGTCAACAGCAATGACAAAGAACAGGTACAAACACACACACGTACACACAGCATTCCTTACACATAGGTGGACTGTGACTGTGTCGACAGTGACAATGACCCATGCGCATCACCTACATTCAATGACATTCAGGAGGCAACAAAGATGGTGAAATACAAGACGCCTGGTTCAGCCTCTGATAATTCACAAACTCCAACCTTAGATGCTTACTAGAGTTAGTAATATGCTATTTTAATGAAAATACAACTTTAATATTTAAAAATAACTTGAATGCGTTAACATGTTTGAAAAATCTAAGAAATGGCCTTGCCACTCTTCACATTATAAGCTGCACCCTTAGAGTAGCCTTGAATGTTCTTTAGGGTATTATGCACCGAAAAAAAAAGAAGTAACACCAAAGAAATTCATGGGTAGGAGATTAATCCTCTGAAGAAAACCAGAATTCCAGTTTGAGCCAGTCATGTGAAAAGCTCACCAGAAATTGTTGTGCTTCTAGTTTTAAAATAATCCAACGAAAAAATTTCCAAGTTAAATTTAAAGAAGAGAGTGTCCCTGTTTTCCATCTTTCCTAAAGACAAGAAGCAGGTGGACTTCAGCTTGAGTAGAGTGCTTTCACATGTGGCCAAGGGGGTTCTTAAAATACTAAAAGGCCCCCGAATGTGTCGTCCCTGTGTCTTTAAAAACGAGACAGCTACAACTCAATGTTTGTCCTGAATATAGAATAGGTTTAATCAGATCACTACCTGCCATAAAGAACATTCTAAATCAACCAGGAAGAACAGAAATTAGTCAAATCATTGGGCTCACGGTTAGCCAACAGATCCAGCTCAACAAACTGCAGTGGAGTTTCCTGAGTTTCCTTGTACACCCCTGGGCAAAACAGTTCCCTAACAGGTTTAGTGTAGTTGCTCTGCCTTTTCAAGGTAATGGCCTAAAAGGGACTGGGAAATAAGGGCTTATTGGAACTACTTTGTGCCTGGCTTTGTGGTAAAGGGTATGGATAAGTCAGGGTAGAGAAACAAAGGTATTTTACTCAAGATATTCTCTGAAACTTGCATTATTGCAGATGCGCGCATATGTCAACTCCAGATGGTTCATCTTCCAGAAGAACTTAGAGAGATTTCTTCACGCTCTCATGCCGTCTACCTTTATTCCTCTCTATTCCATGGTAAGGTCTGAACGTCAGGCTCTCCCTATTTTAGCTTCCTGCTCGGCCACTGAAGAATACAGAGCCCTCTTCACACTTTCCTACAGGTCACGTTTTCTAGAATAAGGTACCACGAGGCGGTGCTGCGCTGGCGTTGGCAAAAAAAGGTTGGCACAGACTCCAGTTCTTCTTTCCTTGATTGGATGTGCTGAGATTCATAGTGTTTTGGTTATGGGTGCTGCAGGCAGGTATGGAAAGCATGTGGCAGGCATGAAATGTTTGTCTTCCACATAAGAAATGCCCTGGGTACACAGGCGGCAACCAGCCCAAGGGGCAAAGTTACAAAGAGGCAAAGAGAGAGAGGGCAAGAGCTGTGGAAGGAAAGGGACTCCGAGAGAAATGGGTGCTAACTCTGCTTTGTTTTAGCCAAGGGACGTTTTGCTTTTTTTTTTTTAAGCAACCGACTTTCATTTCATGTGATACTCTTATGGAGTTAATTTGCAAAACTGGACAAAAATGAACCGCTTATAAAACAGAATCTGATTCTGATGTAATGCTCTGCCACGTTCGTCTTGGGCATTTGTTCTAGAGAAGCCAGGAAATGGACATTTAGATTCCTTATCTTCCCCCTTGGAAATTTTACAGCTTCACCCACTCAACAGTTGTTTTATTTAGTGTAGAAACTGAGCAAGGGCATGGTGATGGACAAGAAATAGTCCCTCCCCTTTACATAGCTCTGAGATTGGGGGGGGG